TTGAGTTCTAATTTGATAGCACTGTGGTCTGAGAGACTGTTATGATTTTCATTCTTTTGCATTTGCTGAGGAGTGTTTTACTTCTAATTATGTGGCCAATTTTAGAATAGGTGTGATGTGGTACTGAGAACAATGTATATTCTGTTGATTTGGAGTGGAGAATTCTACAGATGTTTATTAGGTGAGCTTGGTACACAGCTAAGTTCAACTCCTGAATATCCTTGGTAATTTTCTGTTTCAAATATTGACAGTGGGGTGTTAAAGTCTCCCACTATCACTGTGTGGGAGTCTAAGTTTCTGTAGGTCTCTAAGAACTTGCTGTATGAATCTGGGTGCTCCTGCACTGGGTGCATATATATTTAGGCTAGTTAGCTCTTCTTGTTGCATTCACTCCTTTACCATTATGGAATGCCCTTGTCCCTTTTGATCTTCGATGGTTTAAAGTCTATTTTATCAGAGACTAGGATTGCAACCCCTACTTTTTTTTTTTCTTTCCATTTGCTTGGTAAATATTTCTCCACCCCTTTATTTTTAGCCTATATGTGCCTCTGCACATGAGATGGGTCTCCTGAATACAGCACACTGATGGGTCTTGATTCTATCCAATTTGTCAATCTGTGTCTTTTAATTGGGGCATTTAGCCCATTTATGTTTAAGGTTAATATTGTTATGCATGAATTTGATCCTGCCATTATGATGCTAGCTGGTTATTTTGCCCATTAGTTGAAGCAGTTTTTTCCCAGTGTCAATGGACTTTACAATTTAGTGTATTTTTGCAGTGGCTGTTACCAGTTGTTCCTTTCCATGTTTAGTCCCTCCTTCAGGAGCTCTTGTAGGGCAGGCCTGGCGGTGACAAAATGTCTCAGCATTTGCTTGCCTGTAAAGGATTTTATTTTTCCTTTGCTTATGATGCTTAGTTTGGCTGGATATGACATTTCGGGCTGAAAATTCTTTTCAGCAGTAGCTGTTTTTAATCCCAGTACTTTGGAAGGCAGAAGTGGGGATGGGCAAGCTCAGGAGTTTAAGTCCAGCCTGGGCAACATGGTGAAACCCCACATCTACAAAAAATAAAGCCAGGCGTGGTGGTGCACATCTGTAGTCCCAGCTACTCGCAAGGCTGAGGTCAGAGGATCACTTGAGCCAGGAGGTCAAGCCTGCAGTAAGCCAAGATTACACCACTGCATTCCAGCCTGGGCAAAAGAGCCAGCCACTGTCTCAAAAAACAAAAACATATTAGCTATTTTTCTGGTATCATTCCTTAAGGTAAGAAGGCTTTGTTCCTTGCATATGATCTTGTACATAATAAACAAAGTAGCTTTTGCAAATTATGTTGTCTAAAATATTATAAAATGATAAATAGAAGGGTCAAAACTTGTCCTAAGTTTTAAAATATTCTAACAGTGTTGGCATGTCAATTTTCAGGACTTAAGGCAAAGACTTTCGTGTTTGACCAGCCAGCTTCATACTAGCTATGTGACACTGGGTAATTTACATAACCTTTCTATGTAAATCTTTCCTGCTTTCTCTGTTGGGCATTTAGTGCTATGAATTTCCCTCTACATACTTTTGTATATTGAGATCTTTTGTATATTGACACATTAATGCTAACATCACCATAATACCTATTATATTTTAATTAATATAATTAACATATAGCTAAGACTGTTAGTCGTTTTAGCTAGCTTCAATAATTTCAATATCTTCACCAATTTCAATATTTTCACCAATTAAATAGAGGCAGGAATACCTAATTAACATAAATGTTTAATGGAATATATTTATCATAAAGCCTGGTAAATATAGACAATACAAGTTATAACCACAGAACCATACTATTACCCAATTCAACTTAAAATTCACTAATGCATTCAAGAAAAATATATTTATTACCTACTAAATACCAAGATGCTGGAATAGTCTAGATGAAAGGCTATTTCTATCATTCAATAGCGTGAAATCAAACTGATATGGGGCGACAGGGAAGAGGTAGTTAGGAGATGTGCTGGGGAAGCATGGCACAGAAAAAAGTAGACAGATAACCAGAAATAAACAGTTACTGAAGAATTCAGTGAGAGATTAATGTGAGCAAACTGGCTGAAGTACAGTATAAATTAAAGGAAAGGGAAAGGACAATCCACAAATGACTGAATTTAAGCACTGGACAATTTAAATATTTTTAACATCACCTAAGTAAAAGATCTTTGATGTATGTTCACAATTTTCATTTTATAAATATTTTTAAATTTACATTTTGTATTCAAAACTATATAGTCTAAGATTAGAATTTACTGAATTCCTTGATGGTGCAAATATGCATAACATTCTGGGTTTTGACTACCTCTTGGAATATAACTTAATACTGATCACGGAAAGTTTATAATTAAAAGTACAGGTAATTGGCATATTGACTGGAAAGGGGCATAAAAAAACTTTTTAGGATAAGGAAATTGTCCTATATTTTGATTAGCACATTAGTTACACAGATATACACGTTTGCCAAAGCTCCTTAAGCAGTATACTTGAGATTTGTACATTTTACTGTTATAAGTGTACCTTAATTAAAGGATTAAAGATACACAGATGTGCACACACACAAACACATATATTGATAGATATACTCTTTTTAATTTCAGGCAACTGGTCCTCAGAGGCTGCTAAAAGGCAAAAGAAATACCTATTAGATACCATAACAATTTAAGTGAGGTAATATAAGATCTAATCCACTGATTTGCTCTTAACTCATCTACGGATTGTTTCATTATAGAAAAATTATATTCCTAATTGTGTAAAGTCGTAATTCAATTTGTTCATCTATCCAAGATGATATACAATCTTAATTCTAACTTCATTTGTCAAAATCTCTAAAACAAAGATATGTGAAATATATCTTTTATTTATTTAAGAATCTCAGAGCTTTGGAAGATGTTTATAGGTGGTGGCTAAATCTATAAACTCTAATTATAGATTAGCTTTACTTAATTCACTAAATCCACTAATGATTTTTAAAATTTTTTGTATCTCATTTAAATAATCTACACTACCTCTAACACTGCTCATCCACCCACCCACCCCCAAAAATTAATGTGAAACAACAATAAATTTCAGTTGATAATACACACTACTAACTGGAGAAGCTAGCTAAAACCACTAACAAACTCTTAGCCATATATTAATTAAAATATACTAATAGGTATCACAGTAATGCTAGCATTAATGTGTCAATATACAAAAGATAGACAGGGAAGGGAGAACATGAAGAACAGCATAGGTGGATTTTATGGACCAGGACTATAAATGGCACTCATCACTTCTACCCTTATTTCCATTGGTGGAACCCGATCACAAGCCCACTGACATAAAAGGAGATCTGGGAAACGCAGTCTCTGTCAGTCAGCCCAAACTCCGAGAAAGCAAAGGAAATCATTATTTTGGGTGGAGATCTAGCCATCTTATCACACTATAGTGGTCCAGTAGAGGTCTATCAAAATGTTAATTCACAGAAGACGAATGACAAATTTACAATGAAGGTTTACAAAACTTATCTCCAAAGAAAAACCAGAACATGTTTTATTGTGGAATAGTTCTAAAATTGCTTACAGATGAAAAGAATAAAAACAAATATTTAAATCAGCCACCTCTAGAATAGTGAAAGGCCAAAAATTGCATTTCAGAAATGAAATACCACTCTGGGAAAGCTTTCTGTTTTTACATGCATTCCTTTCTAAACTCTGTCAGGCCAACAGTTTTATAGGCCATCTTTCCACACATAGTCAGCTTATGACATACAGACTAAACCTGAGGCTGGGAAAAAGGTCAGCAAACCTTCCCTTAGACCAGAACAGAAGAAGGCATAGCAAAAAACTGTCTATTTTTTATAGGACAAAAAGAGAAAAATGTCTACTTACTTTTCAACTCCCTGGGAGATAAAAAGTACAGAGAGAGTGGCTCAGAAGCACACTTCCAAAAGTATGATGATTTTTGCTTGCTGTAAAAAAAACCACACACACAAAGTGCTGTTTTGAAAGGGAGTCTAGCTCACTTATCTTTTACAGAGTTCTCTCCTAAAATCAGAACTACCTGCCAAAACAAGACAGACAATTTTATCTTTGAAATAATAGTACATTTTGGTTTCTGCTTTAAAGGGCTTAGGGATCTGGAATCTGGAGGTTAATTAACCTTCACATTGGATATTACAGCATTTTCTCCATGAATGAAAATAAAGACAATATTATTCTTCTCTTTATTACTATATTCCTGAGTGAATAACATGACTTGAGATCCAAAGAACCTTCATATTTTAGTGTAGCTTTAAATCTACTGAAGATCATATTATCCAAAAAAAGGTACTGAAAATAACCTAAGAAAGCTTTAACTATCAGCAATCCCATTATTTCTTTCAAGACCAAGGTTTACTAAACTTATCTTTTAAATACAACAGCCTTTAGTAATTACATTTTCAATAATGTAATATCTAATAATATAGAAACAAAAATTCAAAAAATGTCTTTATGCTTTGCAAAATTATCTCTCTGCTACTCAAAAAGTACTAATATCTTCTTCACAGAGCAGATGAGAAAGTAAATATGGTAAGACATATTACTGCATCTGCTTAACAGTAGTCCTTAAGACTTTGGTGTCTGTGAAAGCTAATTACCACATTACGATTAAAATCTAAATTATTTTGATTCAACGAGTTTGAGTCCTTCTCTTTCGTGATAAACCTTTCAAATACTATATTAGAGGTATGCATTCAGGAAAAAATTAAATTAAAACTCAATTCAATACTCAAAGTTTTGTAGATTTCCAAAAGCAAAGTACAAAAACACGAACTTCCCTGTGGAGTCTTCTTTGACACCCTCAGGCAGGCTTGTTTCTCCCCTCCAACGCACTTATCAAACTAGATTTCTTTTTATTACCCTTTTGTGAACTCTGTAAGCTTAGGTGTATTACTCAGGGTTCTCTAGAGGGACAGAACTAATGGAATAGATATATATATAAAGGGGAGTTTATTAACTCACACGATCACAAAGTGCCACAATAGGCCATCTGTAGGCTGAAGAGCAAGGAGAGCCAGTGCAAGTCCCAAAACTGAAGAACTTGGGAGTCCAATGTTCGAGGGCAGGAAGCATCGAGCATGGGAGAAAGATGTAGGCTGGGAGGCTAGGCCAGTCTCTCTTTTCACATTTTTCTGCCTTACATTCTAGCCACACTGGCAGCTGATAAGATTGTGCCCACAAGATTAAGTATGGGTCTGCCTTTCCCAGCCCACTGACTCAAATGTTAATCTCTTTTGGCATCACCCTCACAGACACACCCAGGATCAATACTTTGTATCCTTCAATCCAATCAAGTTGACACTAGTATTAACCACCAGAGTAGGTATCATATGCATTTATATTAAGCTCTTCAGTGTCAATCACAGTCCCCGGCCCAGAGTGGGTACTTATTAAATGTCAACCAATTGAATAAATGGTTAAAAGTTGAGTAAAAGACTTTTAATTAACTGCATTATTAAGTCAAAAGATGAAGGCAGCAAATAATAGAAGGGAAAAAAAATAAGAGTTCTAGAATAGAAATGAAAATGATTACTTCTGTGCCTGATGCTAGATTGGGAAGTCATTTAGTACTCCTGTGCCTGTTAAGTTAAAAAGTTGAACACAATTTTCTCTAATATCATTTCCATTTCTAAATTTTTTTTAAACAATGAAATGGTCATCATCCTATGTATAAATATTCACATAGAAGCCAGGCACAGTAGCTTCTGCCTGTAATCCCAGCACTTTAAAAGGTCAAGGTGGGCGGATCACTTGAGCTCCGGAGTTCAAGACCAGCCTGGGCAGCATGGCAAAACCCCATCTCTACCAAAAATACAAAATAATTAGCTGGGTGTGGTGATGAGTGACTATGGTCTCAGCTACTTGGGAGGCTAAGTGGAAGGATGGCTTGAGCCTGGGAGGCGGAGGTTGCAGTGAGCTGAGATCGTGCTACCGCACTCCAACCTGGATGAGAGAGTGAGACCCCATCTCAAAAAAAACAAAAAAAGAAAAAAAAAAAAAGATTCACATACACTAAACATCTCTTAACCAATGTTCACTGAACTCACCAGATTAATCCAAGTTTTCTATCCCCCCTAAAAAAACATACCGTCTGAGCAAAGGCTCTCAAACTACAGTGGGCCTCGGAATTACCTGGAGCATTTGTTAAAACACAGATTGTTGTCCTCTCCTACTGCCCCAGTTACTAATTCATTATGTCTGCAGTGAGACCCAGTAATTCACAATTCTAACAAGTTCCCAGATGACACGAATGCTGCTGACCCAAAGATCCACTTTAGAGAATAACCACTCCATGGTAAGCACCCACTCACCTCTTTTGCTATCACTGACTTGTCTGACTACCAAAGGTCAGGTTCCCAAACCTGTATACTCCAGCTGAAACTGTTCATTGTCTTCACACTAGATAATTATCATGTAAATGTACAGAAGGGATTCATTTTCAAATTATCTGTTGCATTTACATGTGAGAATTCTGTGATATATCGGGAAACAGTCATAAAAATCTTGGATTTTGTACTCAAATTTCCTCCCAAGCATCTTTTTCAGTCCCACTAAAAGTAAAAATAGTAGGTGATGAACTGCATGGTGTTGAACATATCATGGGCACAAATGGACATGAGGAAATCTGGGCGTTATCGGTATGTACATCATCTTGGCTGTGATGATCTTTTCTTGAATGCATGTGTGTAAGATAAAATACATTAATGTCTGCTACTTTAAAATGCAACAAAAGACAGGTGGATATGATAAACCACGTATAATGAAATATTAACACAATCTAAGTGGTGAAAACATGCCTTTTCATTGTACAATTCTTCTAACTCTTCTATATTTTAGAAAAATTTCAGAAGATGTTTGGGAATAATTAGTTTATAATCTTTGACAAAAAAAAAATCTGCTTATAAGATAGTAGTTATTATGTGACACCATTTTTTGCTTATGTGTGTTTGTGTGTGAATTTACAGAAGTATACGTGTGTATGAGGGCATATAATTATGTATGTTGCATATTCAACTGTGCCCTCTTAACCAGATCTGTCCTTTCAATTAACTGAAAAATCAAGTCTTTCCTATCCCCAAACAACACAAAACAAACAAACAAGAAACTCCCTCAAATTCTCACCTCTCTCTTCAGCTACTACTAGGTCACTTTTATTCCCTTTCAAAGCCACATTTCTTAAAGAGGTAAATACACTTTCTGTGTCCATGTCTTCAACTACTCCATTATGGTTTGTGCCTGAAAGCTCCAGCAAAATGGTTGTTGCTCACCATACCAATGATTTCTATGTCACTAAAACAAATGGACATTTTTCAATCCTCATCCCCCATAGAATGTAAAATGTTAAATTCACCTACTTTTAAATTTGAAATGAGGGAAGGAAACTTAGCTTAAAAGAAAAGTTCAATTTCCTATCATGGCCAAATTAGAATATAAAAAGGGGGAAACTTAAGGGATGAAATCAGGAAAAAGAGAAAAAAAGAAGATAAAACTATGGCTCAAACAGTAAATGTCAATGGTCTGTTTTTATTATCAATTAATTTTACTACATTTTGAAATTCCAGTTAACACATTAATCATTCACATTTCTTCAACTGGCTTTGTCATCGTATCTACAGAAGCTCTATCTATCTATAGAATCTCTATCTTAAATATTTTACTATGAACTGTAAAATAAAGTACATTTCTTTGTAACATGGGTTTCAGAGATGAAAGCCTTCAAATTTGAGAATAAAATGTATACCAGAATTTGATTTGAATTATATTTAAGCTGCAGGGTAATGGTTTCCAAACAGTTCACTTTTGTAGCACCCTCATGTTTCTTATTTTGAAGTTGAACATCAAAGAATTGTGGTAAGAAACATTCTACCACAGGCAAAAATTGTAAAAGTCTATGTGAAAATAGTTATAGCAGGGCTTTAATTAATTAATTTTCCTTCAGTACTCATTTGTAATCTTGGTCACAGAGGTACGACTGAAATACTAGGGTTTCGGTCTAAGACCTGCTACTCACCATACAGAAAGTCAATCACTGAGACAAGTATTGTCAAGGAAAAAGGCTTTAATCTGGCACTGTAGCCAAGGATCAGTCTCAAATCCATCTCCCTGACTGACTAAAATTAGGAGTTTATACAGCAGGGAAGAAATAAAACAGGAACATGAGAAGGCTAAGGAGGTAATCTGATGAATGAGGCCTGGTGTCTCACTGTCTGGACCCTATGGTTTGGTGAGTTTCATTTTTTGATACTTTTTAAGAGGCCTGGGGGTCCTTTCGTGAGGAAGGAACTCAGATAAACAGAAGTTTCAAGCTTTAGGACCAGAAGGGGTCAATTTCTATGTTCATCCAAAAACAAACAAAAAACAAAACTGTCTATGGGACCATTGGGTCAGTTTCAATGGCGGTTTCTTGAAGGCTACTTTCTATATTCTTGCTATCTATCCTCCACTTGCACACAGGACATGCTAAATAATTGTTTGTAGAATATAGGAAGAAAGCAAATTCACTTATTCCACAACCAATTATTTAGCATGACCAATGTGCAGATCTAAAAACTATCTGCACTGCCTAAGCTTGAAGGAACATAGAATGTGGTTAATGGTATATGATTATTGAAAGACTTTATGTTAGCCTAGCTTTTCACACCAGACCTTTACACGCAGTAGCATTATTTGGCTATTTTTTTTCTTTTCTTTTTCCTCATTCCGTCATTCGTGGCTGAAATTTGACTATTTATAAATATTAAATTAGTTTTTCACTTACCTTTGAGTTCCAATAACTAATGGAGGTAATATGAAGAAGAAAATAGCTTAAACTCAATTATAAGAAAGGAAACAGAATAACAACTTAATTACCAACTAGGCACACACATCTGAAAATCTGAATTGTTTAGTATAAAGTCTAGATTCAAAATTCTTTTCGGATCACAAACCTCTTTGAAAATCTAGGGAAAGCTAAAGACCCTCTAGTAGGCAGATTCTGACAGGCTCACAGTAATACCCACTTCTTAGTATTCCTAATCTTGTTTAATCTCCTTCCCTTGAGTTCTGGCTGGACCTAGCGACTTGCTTCTAAGAAGAGATTATGACAAAAGTAAGATTATGACTCACCAAAGACCATGGCTTCCGTTTCACTAGTGCAGTCTCTTGACATCTTACTTGCTCTCCTTGATGACGCAAGCTAACTTGTGTGAGATGCCCCATGAAGAGGCCCTGTGGCAAGAAAGCAAAGGAGGCCTCCAGCCAACAGCTCACAAGAAACTGAATCCTGCCAACAACCAAGTGGGCTACGAAATGAATCTTCCCCAGTCAACTTGAGATGACTGCAGCCTTGCAAGAGGTAAAGCTATAACCCAGCTAGGCGGCAGCTGGATTCCCAACCCGCAGAAACTGTCAGACAATACATGAATATTGTTTTAAGCTGCTAAACATTGGCATAATTTGTTATACAGAAACAGATCCCCTCTTTAGAAAAGTACTTAAGTGCACATATTCTAGTACACGTTTTAGGGAATTTGGAAGTCTCTCTGAAGTTCACAAACAGAACTCCTAGTGACCCAGGGATTCAGATTATGAAACTTCTAACATGATAAACTTCAAACAATATGTACAAAAGGCCTGTAGGAAATCAATTTAACCGTGCTATGTGGTGTACCAAACATTAGAATACTTTCCTTCCATAAAGTATTAAGAAAGTTAAATGACTTCAAATATATTATATCTTAGTACCAGCCTTTCCAAAGGTAAAAATCAAACCAAGTTGTATAAAACATTATTTTTAAATAAAATATTTCAGAGGTACTAAAGTACTGATGATAAAATCACTGAGTCATTGTCCTCAACTTTGAGGACTGCACTATCTAATTGGTGAGACAAACACACACACACGAACACACAAAATAGCTATCATAACAGTTAGCAGTACAAATAGAGATGTACATATAGTATCCTCTCATGTACACAGTAAAGTGACTTTACTGAATTGTAATTGTAATTAAAATAAATACCTGTACTGTTTTTCCAAGCCCCATGTCATCACCAAGAATGCACCCTCTTCCATGGATGTAGTGTCCATAAAGAAACTGGGCTCCTTCTCTTTGATAGTCTCTCAAATATCTATTGATGGTATAAGGAATAGAGTCTCCATCATCAGATAATTTAAAAGCAATAGAAGACGATGGAAATTTTCGGTTTGGAAAATAAGGTTTTTCCAAATCTTCATCATCAAATATAAGATTCCTGGGGCAATCTTTAACAAATTTTATTTCTTGCAGCTGTTTAAGAGGTATTTTCCTTTCTTGAAAATCTGAATATAAGATGACTGCAAATGATTTGCCATTTTCATCCAATGTGATAGATTTTATGCTTGCTTCACAAAGTTTTCCATTATCTGGAGAAGGGGCAAGACATCTTTCTCCTGGATGCCATATGTCTGCAATAATAAAAGAGAAAATAAAATTTCCAAAGCTAGCTTATAAAGTAACACCTCATTTATCCACAGCTATGAGAAAAAAATATATACCTCACATAAATCCCTTTTCCAAAAAACCTGCAACAAGATAAATTATAACATATATGTTTTTCTAAAATATATTTTCAGATATTCTTCTACAATAAACAGAATAAAGGGTACATAATTTATTTCCAGTGGTTCTTTCCCTGGCTGTGTGTCATCATCTCCCCTGGAGTTTAAAAATATACATTCTTAGACACCACCTCTGGTGATCCTTATTCAGCGGATATGCATCATGGGCATCTGGTTTTATTGTTTTGTTTGGTTGTCACTGTTGAATTCAAAAGATAATTCTGATGCATAGCCAGGGTTGAGAACTACCGACTCAAATATTCTTGCTGTCATTCTCACAGACACACACACACATTTCATGATATGGTAGAGTAATCACAAATAGGACTTGGTAATGAGTAAAGTAAAATCCTCTGGACAGCAATACTCTGTGGTTCATCTGTCTGCTCTTATAATTATTCCATCACCTATCTCTAGAAACAGCTGTTTCTTTTCACTGTCAATACTGCTGCTTCTAAACCTTTAACCACTGCTTGCATACAGCTAACCATAGGAACCTCCAATTCAACTACAGTGATGTCACAGCTTTTTCTCTGCTGAGTTTTGAGTAACAATTTTTAGCGGTTAATTCTCAGATCTTTTTCTGCTAAGGTTCTATTATTCTTTAAAGAGCGTGACCTATCTCCTGAACTTATTATGTGCTTAACTGTACAGCTATCTATTTTATTTTCTTAGAAAATATAGCACTATGCATGAAGAGGGAGTCTATTGAGTATACTACTGGCACAATCAAATAAAGAAAACTAAGTAAAAACAATTTTCCTAATGGAATTTCTTACAGCAAGAATCCAAAAATAATTCTATGGCTACAAATATAAGAACACCAGGAATTATTTTTCTTATACATTTCTCACTGAGATCAGATGACCACTGGCAGTTTCCTAGGGTCTTCCTGATGACCTCGAGTTAGATTTTTATAATATTCATGATTACCATATGACATGTTTATACTATCTTAAGCAAGAATAGCTCACTATATGCCTCATCCATCAGTTGTTCCTCAAAAGTAATGTCACTAACTTTGATGAGGTTATTTTACCGTAAAAATAATGAGTACACAGGGAAAAACCTTCTCTCCCACTCTAATCTCTGGAACCAAACTGTTTGACAACTGTTAGACCATTCTAAAAGAGTGTTTTGATGTGAAACTAAAGCCTTGATCCACTGCACAAGTAAAACAGTAGGTCAATGGGCCCGATTTTCACAACAGTAGTATTTGTACTTTAAAACCTAAAGCAACCTTTACAGCAATTCTTATTACTTCTGTTTCACATTATTTGTTTCTACCCAGCAAATGCTGTATTGCTTTATAAGACTTATTTTTTTTATCTATTATTCAACATATTTAAGCACAAATTATATTACACCACACAATGGGTATAAAATGAAGAAAACCAATATAAAAAATGATGGTAATAGCCTTCCTACATCTCATTAATTGGCATCATCATTTAACCAACTTTTCAAGGTAGAAAACTATTAGTCAGCCCTTAATCCGCATGTAATATTACTCCTTACATCCAATCCATCAGAATGTCCTGGTTCTGCCTCAAAAATAAACAACTTTCCTCCATGCCACCATCTCTCTAAAAGCAAAGGCTGGCAAGCATTTTCTGTAGAGTCAGTTATTAGCTATTTGTTACTTTAGATTTTGTAGGCCATACATTCTCTTGCCCTTGTAATGCAAAAGCAACCAGACAATACATGAACAAATGGGCACAGCTGTGTTCCAATAAAACTTTATTTACAAAAAGAATTGTCAGACCAGATTTAGCCTACAGGCAGTAGTTCGCTGACTGCTGCCTTAAAGCATGTCACCACCAACCTTCCCTAAATTATTCTTAACTAGTCAGTCTGTTCCCAGTCCACCTATTTAGAGGAGGGTACCCCATTATTCTCTATCTCATAATTTTATTGCCTCTGTAGCACTTACCATAAGATTTAATTATCATGTCCACTGTTTTTTTTCTTCCACCGGAGAGTAATTTCCATTCCAAGAAAGTATGTACTGTTATAAATTTTATCCCCAGGATCAACACAGAGCCACACAGCAGACTTTCAATAAACATGTGATGAATGTATTCCACATTCTCTTTTTTTTTAAGACAAGAGTCCGTCGCCCAGGCTGGAGTGCAGTGGCACAATCTTAGCTCACTGTAAACCTCAACTCCTGAGCTCAGCAATCGTCCCATTTCAGCCTCCTGAGTAGCTGGGACTACAGGTGTGCACCACCATGCCTGGCTAAATTTTTTATTTTTAGTAGACACAGGGTCTCGCTTATGTTGCCCAGGCTGGCCTCAAACTATCCTCCCGCCTCAGCTTCCCAAAGTATTGGGATTACAGGTGTAAGCCACTGCACCTGGCCTATTTCAAGTTATTGATCTCACAGATCCTTGATATTTTGCGAGAGAGAAAACTAAAAAGTACACAAACATACACATAACTGTAAAAAGTGCATTGGAAGAGAAGAGTGCTTTGAGAAGGGAGTATTCAGAAATGTTAATTTAAAAGGGAAGAGAGTCTAAGAACTGTTATCTCAGGTAAGTGCATAGCATGTGCAAAAAAAAAAAAAAGCCTTAAAATCACACAACTTATTGGACTACCTTTGGTCTCTGAATCTGGATAATTTCTAGAATGAAATAAATTCAGTTAA